CGCTTGTGTATTTGAGCGTTATCCATTATCAATTATCAAGAACGAATTTTCCTACTCCAAATTGATTTTCTCCAAAAGACTTTCTATAAATAATTTAAATCTGTCTGCATTGACACTGCAATTAGAAACTATTGTGTGATGTACAACTCCCGTGTTGTTTATTGCTACAATAGAGTGACATTACGACCTCTGACCGTAGGCAACACAATGTGTGCTCCTGTTCCTTGTCTTGAACGGGCTTGGGTTCTTCGTATGTGAAGATTAAATCCACACTCATCAATGAATATTAATTTTTCTCCTTGTTGGGGTATCCATTTTGTAAAGTCTTGAGCATATTTTTGTCTCAAGCCTAATGTTCTGGAGCCATTCATTCGTTCTATTTCAATAGAGGCCATCTTCAACGTAATTTTTAATTTCCGTAATCCATTTTCTATGCAGCTTGTGGAAATATTTATATCATTTTCTTTCAACAGTTTAGTTTTTATGGCCTTGAGGGTAATTCCAGGTTGACTTTCTATATAGAACTCGATCAGACTTAAAACTTGTGGTGTCAACAACTTAGTTCTATTTCCTCCACGCTTATTTCCCTTCAATGTTCCAAAATTTTGTTTGTATCTTCTTATTAATGTTTTTGCTGAATTTATTTTTATACAGGTTAAATTTACAACCTCGGAAATGGTTCTCCCCTCTTCATAGAATTTAAATATTAACAATTTCATGTCTTTTGTTATTTTGTTATACTGACCCAATTTGTTTCGGGGTCTTGTAGATGTACCTTCGGTAGGTTCTGGAGCATTTCCACTTGCAATACTTGGCGAGGATATTGATTCTTCCTCAGGTTCCCAATTATCAGAGCTTCCCGAGCTAAAATCAGGTTCGCATTTATTTTAATCGTTGCTATTTTTAAATACAGTGAACTCTCGATAATGTGAACATCCAAAACAGTGAACTCTCTACAATGTGAAGTAATTACAAACAAAATTTTGGAACATTGAAGGAAAATAAGCGTGGAGGAAATAGAACTAAGTTGTTGACACCACAAGTTTTAAGTCTGATCGATTTCTATATAGAAAGTCAACCTGGAATTACCATAAAAACTAAACTTTTGAGAGAAAATGATATAAATATTTCCACAAGCTGCATAGAAAATGGATTACGGAAATTAAAAATTACGTTGAAGATGGCCTCTATTGAAATAGAACGAATGAGTGGCTCCAGAACATTAGGCTTAAGACAAAAATATGCTCAAGACTTTACACAATGGATACCCCAACAAAGAGAAAAATTAATATTCATTGATGAGTGTGGATTTAATCTTCACATACGAAGAACCCAAGCCCGTTCAAGACAAGAAACAGGAGCACACATTGTGTTGCCTACGGTCAGAGGTCGTAATGTCACTCTAATTGCAGCAATAAACAACGCGGGAGTTGTACATCACACAATAGTTTCTAATTCCAGTGTCAATGCAGACAGATTTAAATTATTTATAGAAAGTCTTTTGGAGAAAATCAATTTAGAGTTGGAAAATTCGTTCTTGATAATGGATAACGCTCAAATTCACAAGCGACATGACATAAAAAATTTGATCGAATCCAAAAGATGCAACCTTAAATTCTTACCGCATTATTCTCCAATGCTAAATCCAATCGAAAATGCATTTTCAAAAATAAAAATATGTGCAAGAGATGAGCTGTGTGACGTTTCAATGGAACATAACATTGTTGATGTAATCGAGCGAAGTATTCAAAAGCTTACTCGGCAAGATTGTTCTAACTACGTTATGGACATGATTTTGAAAATCCCACAAGCTGCAAGTCGGGAACCACTTCATTAAGATAAGCAGTTACCTTATCATCAACAATTTATTAAGTCAAATATGTATTTCGCATTTAGGACCGGGTATTCAATTCTTGTTCTTAAATATTTATTTATTAAAATGTCAAGAAATTCCCCAGTTTGTATTACTATTTATTTAGTTTTCTGTAGTCAAGATATTAAATGAAATCACACCGAATTAAAGAATATTTATGTTAATTACATAGCCATACAACTATATTTGTTAATATTCTTTGATTTAATTTTCAAATATTGGTTTAAAATTACTGCAAATATTATATTTCCTTAGATAATAATAAAGGTTTCATTTAATTTGGAAAAAGTTTCATTCTATTTGTAAAAGGTTTCATTTCAATTGGAAAAGGTTTCATTCTATTTGTAAAAGGTTTCATTTTAATTGGAAATGATTTCATTTAATTTGGAAAAGGTTTCATTTAATCTGGAAATGCTATATTTTAAGATTTAGACATAATTGTTTATTGTAATGAGAATATATGGCAAGTTTTGCGTTGTATTTGCAACTTCCCACATTTGATAAATATAGTATGAATTAAAAAAATACATCGGTTTTTTTTTTTTAAACCCGTTCGCGACACTATTATAGGCGTACTATTTAATTTGTTATTTTTGTTCATTTATTTAAGTCAAGTCACTTCCAACATCTTCTGATCTAAATAGAACATGTAAGCTTTCTTCCACCTGACTACAAATCCATTATTCCACGATCCCTGTTCGGCAGAAAGTAGCTATTTACCAGTAGATTTATAGGTGTATATAGAAATTTCATTATTTAAGATTGTAAAGAATATTGCGACCATCCGACAGATTTCGAAATTATAAGCCTTTTTAGATAAAGGTTAATATTTTTGTAGATAACTACTTCTTACAAATAGGATTGATTTCTTTAAATTCCAGTAAATATTTATGATGCATTCAGGTTTGTTATATTTAATTTATAGTGTTTCCCGATGATGTTCGCTTTATTTCTTTTCTTCTAAAGGAAATCATGGCATATCTTTAACAACATCATTATCATTTGCATTGCAATTCACACATGGCTCATAATAAAATCTAATGAAGCAGTGGAGATCTCAGTAAAAATAAACAGATGCGCGTGCAAGCAGCACTCCAATTGTTGACCACCGCGGTCCATCTCATTACACCAAGGAAGAAGTTACATAGGTATATTGCGATTATTGGTAGTGACGATGATAGGTGCTGGTTGCACTGATGATAACATCACATATCACCAACAACAAAAACAACAGAAAAGAACAACATTATCACCTCACACATTGCCGGTTTGATTACCGGCATGCACGGCTGTTTGGACCTGTTTAGATGTTTGCGTCTGATTTTGTGTGCACTAAAATGAATGGTTGGTTGGGTGCAAATGAAAAGCGATATCCAGACGATGCCGCCATTCACGGTGTATGTTTCGTTGTGTGTACACAGGTCAGTTAACCTGATGCAACAGACTTTAGTTTATGAGCTCATCGTGTGCTACAAAACACGTGAAATACCGGACAAATGAACAAATTGTGACGGTTGGATGAAATCGATTTTGTTTTGTTTTTCATTTTTCTATTCTAACAATTTCACTTTTGTTTTCACATCTTGTCATTGGACTCACAACACCTCTACAGCTCTGTAGTAGTTTTCAGACCCAGTTAAGTGAAAACAAATTAATGTGAATGATGACGACGACGTCTGGTCAATGGTATGCACATATTAGAATCGTTCGTGACTATAAAATTTATAATAATATGTAGCATATGTTTAGGAGGAATGATATACAGTGTCATTATTACCAAGTTTGTTGGGCCTTGCGTATGACAAAAATCGAACAGATAAAAATACAGGATAGTCCCAAATCACACAACCTAGAATTATGGAAAATTATGTTGAGATTGATGTATAAAGAAATTAAACGACAACAAACTCATTTAAACCACCAGACTCTTTTGGAATTAGGGGAAAATAATATTTGTTAACGAGCGTTCGTACGCCCGGACTTATTTGCCCCACTTTTTCGAGTACTCAATATTTTGAAAACTTGTACATCTCATATAAAGCGAACAAAATTGGACATTCAATTTTGTTCGCTTCATTGAACATCGAACACCGTCCTTCTTATTCTTGTACCTCCCCCGCAAAATGGTCAAAATTTGCCTGAATTTGATTTTATACAACCTAATATTTTAATTATAGCTGTATAATGTTGAAAGATGAGACTTAATGGGTCAACATTTGGAAGACTTGTACATCTCATATGAAGCGAACCGAATATCCAATTTCATCAAAATATTGCACAACGTAATATTTTGCCGTACTTAGATTATGACCGAAGATGAGACCCGTCGGTGTATGTTCGTACAGCGTCCTTGGTAACTCAAATCTATAAGAAACGACATTTTATTTTGTACACACATGATTGGTACCAAAAGTTTTGCTGGGTGTTTTTTTACGTTTGGTTAAACATGTTTAAACGATTGGTCGATTTTCTATATTGGTAATTATGGTGAAACTCTTCTAAAAAATATTCATATTCCATTTTTTTTAACATTTCAACAATTTTGTAAATTATTCGGATGTAACTTTCTTTTGCTACATTGAAAGCAATGCCCATTATTGATATGTTATTTCCGTTTCGCACCAAACAATAAATCATTCTTCTGATTGAAATATGTATTTCATTCATATGCTCGTTGTGTGTTAAAAATTGTTTACTTTTGTTCGAGATATACCCACCTCCTCTAGTGGTAAGATCCACAAAAATATGTAAAATTGTTATACCGATTACAATGCACCACTGTGTGGCGCCAAATTTATGTTGATTGATCCCAGCTATCGAGAAATGATGCTCAGAAATATACCTGTTGATTGTTTGGAATGCAATTAGCCCCAATGCATTGATTCCGGAGGTGTGAGAATATCGACAAACGTTGGAAGTGGAATTTACATGAACAACTAACCCATTGACATATAATGATTATGGAATAATTATTGTTTGTTTGTAATGTATTCTGTCTGTTTGATTGAGATGGGCACGATGTGGGTAGCATCTTAGTTGCGCCACATTTTATCTATGCGTGTGTGCGATCATTATTGAAAATATTGAATGAAGTTGTTTGTTAATTTATTACGTCTTACTATTACAGATTTCAAGTTGGCTCCATTTATACATACATCGGTGAGGTATGCGTCTCCATGAATCCCTACAGACAGATGAATATCTATGGCCCCGAAACGATAAAAAAATACAAGGGACGAGAACTATTCGAAAACCAACCACACGTATTTGCCATTGCCGATGCTGCATATCGAATATTGAAACAGCGTCAACAGGATACATGTATTTTGATATCGGGTGAATCGGGTGCTGGCAAAACTGAGGCATCAAAAATTATTATGAAATATATTGCCGCTGTAACCAATATCCATGGCCAGAATGAAATTGAAAGGTAAGTTGCGAATTGCTAGAAATATAGATTATAATAAGGGCAATAAAGGGCAAAATATAAAAATGTAACGTACAATAATTGAAGATAACTGCAACAGTAAAACTCAATAGTAACTACATCAAATTATTATACAAATTCACACCTATTATACAAATTTTGGGGAATTGCGAATATACGACAAGTCAATAATTATTGTCTGTTTTATGAAGTTATTATTGCTGACAAATTTTCAGCATTATAATTGTATTTTTTCCACATCTATCTACTTTTTGAGATGTTCGTGTTCTTTAAAAATGTTGTTTAAAAATATGGCACTTAGGGCACACTGGGGCACATTCGGCACTTTTTTTAAAGATCTATATCAGGTATTAAAACTTTATTGCTGGTTATTGTCGTCTGATACTTAATTATAAAATCTAGTACCCTAAACATATAATAAATTAGTCTTAATAAAAAATTGTACTGTTTTGTAAAAAAATCTAATTCGCCGAATGTGCCCCTACCCGGGGTAGCTTCGGCATTTGAGTGGGCACATTCGGCGCCATAGTCATAGCCTGGTAATTATCACCGCTATCTATCAGTCTGATTGAAATACAGATCCTCTAAATGTTCCATTTTGTTTCAATATGTGACTCAAAGTTTGACTTTTAAGGCTATTTTTCAAGGTCACACACACCATCAGAAATAGCATTTTTCTATGGAATTTTCGTCAAAGCAAGCACGTTTGGTCGTACATATGTAATTTCGAACCATATTTAAGAATTATTTTTAAAGACAATCTAAAAACATTTTAAGGAAATAATATTGCACTATCTGTATATGGCCGAATGTGACCCACTTTAAAATGCCGAAAGTACCCCGAAGGTGTTTTTTTAATCTTTTTTCCATTTATTTCTATGAATCTTCTAAAAACATTATATTTTTAATTATTTTTATAAGAACACGCATTGTAATTAACTACTTTTTAATAATACTGCCTTAAAAATTAAAATGTTTTATACAGGAAATACATACGAAATGGAATGGAAATATTACAAAAACATCTGTAAAAATACACAAAGCCGTGCATATAAATAAGCTTTTTAGCTAGAGATTTCAAACTTTGCGACAGTTATTTATTTTGATATTCGATACCTATGTATCGAAATTAGTTATGTACGGTGAGAGCTTCATATCGAAAACGCGATTGCCGAATGTGCCCCGATGCCGAAGGTGCCCAATTCTCCCCTACATGTAAATTGTGAAGTCGATGAATAAAGCCATCGAAAACGTTCCATCCATTCAAAATCTAAATCAACAATTTCATCTATAGATGTAGGAGAATCCACTTTTAGTTTTTTGCTGTAATATTTAATTAAGGGAAGCCATAGTAATTTCAAATTTTAATTGTCAATTTGTTAAAAGTATAAACTTTAAATACTCCACTTTATAACCATTAAACAACTTAAGTCATCAAGAGACACTTTGCAGGCCACACCTTATCCACTAGCAGTAAGTCTATTGAGTTGTTCTGTAGTGTAGTGGTCTTGTATATGGACATGATGACGCATCATATCGCCGTACAACGAAATCGCTTGCACATAATTTGTCGTTTTACCTCCTCTCATACGTAAGCTTTATATTTCGCATTAAGGGTATTACTCCAGTAACACCTCAATTTATTTTGTGGTCCTTTTGCGGACTCCAATTACGACCCATATTAATGCTAGCTAGCGTGTCATGTGTATTTCATTTTTTATTGTCAGTTAAATGTTAGAAGAGTAGGAGGCGGGATAGATTATGTGTGAATCCAAAGGAACTAAATGAAGTTAATATTGGCAAATAAATTGTAGGAGATATTAATTTAAAACTTAATTGCAGGCCAATATATTTTAGTGCATTTTTATTGTGTTTAAGTTCTAGGAATTTAAGGATTGTCGTGTGTAGGTTTTTATGATTATGGAAAATTATTAAGTGGTTATTAAAATAATGCAATCTGTATATCGTTTTATTACATTTTATTTCCAGAGTAAAAAATGTGTTGATCCAAAGTAATGCCATTTTGGAAACGTTTGGTAATGCGAAGACAAATCGTAATGACAACTCCAGCCGTTTCGGTAAATACATGGACATTGAATTTGATTACAAGGCCGATCCAGTTGGTGGTATTATAACCAATTATTTATTGGAAAAATCTCGTGTGGTGCAGCAGCAACCCGGAGAACGAAATTTCCACAGTTTTTATCAGGCAAGTATACTATTATTAATTCGGTATTTAAGACATGCATTTTATGTATAAGTATTTAAGGGAACCCACCCCCCCCCCCCATTCTCGATTTTTTATTTCTAAGATTTTAAATGGGCTGGTAAATGAATACCAATGCTTGTTAAGGTTTGTAACTTTGCACATATATATTTGAAGATTTAAAAAGGAAGAAAAATAATTTACAAAAAATTTTTGTTGTTGTTTTGTTGTTGTTTTTTGTGATCAAAGAAAAGTCCTTATTTTTGATGGCGGGCATGATAACTCTTCACTGGAACATCGGAATCCGAAAATTCCAACGGTGTTAGAAAGAGTACATGTCTGGCTCTCGTATGAACTAGGATTATTGACCTCGCTCTAAAATTAACAAAATGGCGGACCTTTGAAAAAATATTTTTGGAAAATCGCCGATTTTTTACCAAAAACCAAGTTAAAAAATAAGGAAGATCTTCACCGATTGGCTTTATCCTAGTCTATACGATAGCTGTACACTCACAGAGAAACGTGTAAAAATTTGAAATCGATTGGGTTATTAGTTTTTGAATTATCGTGCCCGCCATTCGCAAAAAAATGTTTAGAGAAAAACGCGTTTAAAGTTTGAGAAGCTCTTCAGCCGTCACTTGATGCTGACACAATAAATCGGCTATATCTTCAAGAGTTCTTGAGATTTTTACTTGAAATTTTGCAGGGACATTCTTGAATTAGTGTAGGTTTTAATTAAGTCAACAAAAATTTTGACCCCGAGAATGGGGGGGGGGGTCCCCTTAACGAACAAACAAGCGAAATTCATTGTTAGCCGTAATGAAATCTTTGGACTTGTATGTGCTGTAATTTAAGAATGTATGATTTCGTCCAACATACAAACGCCCACAAATTTCCTTAGTTCCAAATATTGATAAGTAAACTTAGCAATAAGTGGGGAGTTGGCCACAAACAAAAATAAATTCATACAATTCACATTTAGTTAAATTACTAATTATCTTGGCTGGGCAGAAATTCATCATTGTTAGCAAAACAACAACAGAGTGGTTAACAAGAAAACAATTAAAAATGTATATGTATAGTTGACGGTGACGAATTGTTATTGACATTTATCAAAATTCAAGGCGTAATATTTACTTAGAATTTATATTCATATTTTGGATGTATTATAAACTGTTATCGAAATAATACAACTAAAGATAGCATATATGACCGCAAATATAATTAAGTTAGTATCGCAAATCTTACATTTATTATGATAGAGTTAATTTCTCCTTTGAAATATTCGTTGTCCCTTTTGTTTTGAGCCACAAAAGCACAGGGATCCAGATTTTTTAGCGGATATTCCTATATTCGCCACCTTGTCTCTTTAAAATAATACAAAAACAATTAAATACCGAAGGCGGAATGTTATCTACAATTTTAAGGCATATTAATGTAAATATTTGCCCTACTTACATTTCCTGCTTCTCTAGCAGGATTGTAATGAAATTAAATGCCGAAAGGCGGAATGTTATCTACAATTTGAAGGCATATTAATGTACATATTTGCCCTATTTACATTTCCTGTTTCTCTAGCAGGATTGTTTTCTACGGAGATGTTCAAAGCCTTCAGGCCCATTAAAGATAAATTACAAAATGCATATAAAGCGCTTAACCTAATAAAGGATAAACTATCCAAAAAAAAAAAAAAAAAACTAAAAAAATGTAAAATAAATTCAAACATTCGTAAATACCATAATCAAAACTACTCCTCGTTATAGACATTTTAACGGGGCACTTATTCTTTATATTATTATAAAAAATAAAATTTATGATACATATATACAAAGATTTTATATATTTGTCTCTTAATTTTAGCTATTGCGTGGTGCGAGCGACAATGAACTACGACAACATAATCTTAATAGGGATCCATCGAAATATCACTACATGAATCAAGGTAGTATGGATGTTTTGAGCGAGAAAAACGACTACAAAAGCACAAACGCTGCATTTAAAACACTTGGATTCTCCAGCGAAGAGATTTCAACAATTTGGCGCATTATTGCTGCAATATTACACCTGGGCAACATTGAATTCCAAAGTTAGTATAGGACTATATAATTATAAGTATATTTTTTTTACTTGTATAAGTATATTTCCCTATTCGTTCTTAGTGATCGAAGACGAGTTGGTCATCAGCAACAAGTCGCATTTACAATGGGCTGCACAATTGCTACAGGTTACCCCAGATGAACTCTCCACATCGTTGACAAAACGTGTGATTGCTGCCGGTGGCAATATCATGAGAAAGGATCACAATGCCAGCCAAGCAGAATATGGAAAAGATGCTTTGGCTAAGGCCATATACGATCGACTCTTCACATGGATCATTTCACGCATTAATCGTGCCATATTGTTCCGTGGTTCCAAGACCCAGGCTCGTTTTAATTCAGTTATTGGAGTTTTGGATATCTATGGTTTTGAAATCTTCGACTCCAACAGTTTTGAACAATTCTGCATCAACTATTGCAACGAAAAATTGCAACAATTATTTATAGGTGAGTTTGTAAACTTTTTTGTAAATAATATAATTTCGATCAACTAGGTGTACAATCTTTGTCATGTAGAATTGGTGTTGAAACAAGAACAAGAGGAATATCAAAGAGAAGGAATAGCATGGAAAAACATTGAATACTTCAACAACAAGGTATGTTTTTGATTGTTCTATATATATTAGAAATTAGTACAAGATTATTCATCATAATCGTCGTGAATAATATGCATTTAGATAATTTGTGACTTGGTGGAACAACCGCATAAGGGTATTATTGCAATAATGGACGAAGCATGCCTGAGTGTTGGCAAAGTGACCGATGAGACGTTGCTAGAAGCCATGGATAAAAATCTTAGCAAACATCCCCATTACACGAGCCGACAACTTAAACCAATGGACAAGGAACTGAAACACCGCGAAGATTTTCGTATTACTCACTATGCCGGAGATGTCATTTACAATATAAACGGGTTTATAGAGAAAAATAAGGATACATTATATCAAGATTTCAAACGCCTATTGCATCATTCTTCGAACAGTTATCTGAGCGAAATGTGGCCTGAAGGGGCACAAGATATAAAAGCCACCACCAAACGGCCGCTAACGGCTGGCACACTTTTCCAACGTTCCATGATCGACTTGGTAAATACACTGTTGAAGAAAGAGCCGTTCTACGTCCGATGCATCAAGCCAAACGACATGAAGAGTCCAACCGTTTTTGATGATGAACGTGTTGAACATCAAGTACGTTACTTGGGTCTATTGGAAAACGTTCGTGTACGTCGTGCCGGTTTTGTTCATCGACAACGTTATGACAAATTCCTACTACGCTACAAGATGATCTCACAGTACACTTGGCCCAACTTCCGCGCTGGCAGTGATCGTGATGGTGTACGTGTTCTAATCGAAGAAAAGGGATTTAGTCAAGATGTCAAATATGGCCATACAAAAATATTTATACGGTCGCCACGCACTCTTTTCTCTCTGGAGCAACAACGCAACGAAATGATCCCACATATTGTGACATTGCTGCAGAAACAAGTTCGTGGTTGGATTGCCCGCCAGAACTATAAAAAGATGAAGGCAGCAATGGTCATAATGAGGGCATACAAAACATATAAACTGCGTTCATATGTGCAGGAATTGGCTAACCGTTTCCGTACTGCCAAAAGTATGAGAGATTATGGACGGAGCATCCAATGGCCACATCCTCCTCTGGCTGGACGAAGAGCTGAACCCGGGCTACGCCGCATCTATGACAATTGGAGAGCGTACATGATCTTGCGCAAATATCCACGAAGTGAGTGGCCACAACTACGTCTTCAGATTATTGCAGCCACCGCCATTAAAGGTCGTCGACTCTATTGGGGACAACAGAATAAGTGGTTGGGCGATTATCTGGCAAATTCGCACGAGAACTCTGCTTCTTTGGCGTACGGCACAAATGTCAGAAATCTGAAAAATGTTGATGGTTTCAAAAATGTTATCTTCTCTTCGTTTGCTAAAAAATTCAATAAACACAACAAACAGGCCGATCGTGCCTTTATAATAACGGATAGTGCAATTTACAAGCTGGATGGTGCCAAGAACAAGTTCAGAAATATGAACAGATCGATATATATAAAGGATGTAAGTAGACCTGTGATTATGTACATAAGTCGTAAATACAACATGTGTTTGATTATTTTTCAGTTAACCTCTATAAGCATAAGTACAGGACGAGATCAATTGGTCGTATTCCATTCCCCGCAAAACAATGATTTGGTCTTTTCGCTGCAAGGAGAACATGGGCCTCTCAAGGAAGATCGTATCGGGGAATTAGTCGGCAATGTGTGCAAAAAATATTATGAGTAAGTCAAATTAAACAAAAAAGTGGCATATCCATTCATGTTTTTTAATACTCTATCTTCATTTTATGTTTCACTAGTATTTGTAATCGGGAACTAAGAGTAGACGTTTCAGCCAATATTATGTGCCGTCTCGGAGGTAAATCACGCACAATTGTGATCGAAGCTGCGGCTGGAGTGGAAAATCCAAATTTCCGACATGCTGCGGGCAACATTATTTTCGAAGTTCCAACACATTATTGTGTTTGAGAGCAAAGCTGGACTTTAATTGTTATATTCTTGTTTTTTCTTCTTCTTTTTTCTTTATTTCGCTTAACAACGACAGTAGAGCTTTTACTAGCTGATATTGTTTACAAAATTTCCAAAAACTATTATAAATTATTTTTATACATACACTACACAAAACTAGGTTATCTAAACATTCATGTATGCCTGCATCATATATGAAGTGTTAATAATTAATCGTTATATATTATTATTCTTATTGTAAGTTGAGTATTTTTATATAATAATTATTAATATAACTAATCTAATTATTGTTTGATGTTATTGTGTCACTAGTTAAGTTAATTGAAACAGGAAATTATACGAAAAAGTATTATATGTACAGTAAAATAAAATTGTGCATTTCCTTTTTATTTACTTTTTTATTGTGGAACCTATTGTTTTACATAAATAAAAATATTTGTAGAATCGGGAGTGAAGATATCATTATGAAATCAACTCTACACTTGCGTTGTAGTATTTAAAGTAAGTTTTGTTAAATGAGAATATGTCAAAACTAGCATTTTAACTAATTGCAAATAAATTAACTAAATGGTGCCATTCCCACTTTAAGTTATAAATTTATACAAATAATTTCGTTTTTTTTTAATATTAATGAAAGTGATAGTGGTCAGTCAAGGTGGACCATTGGACTGTGTGCCTTTGCAATGAATAAGCGCTTTGATTTTTTATATAAAAAGAGCTACTTACCTTTTTCATATACAAATATATATTTTTATATTAAAAATCAAAACATTCAGTATACAATCATTTATATTTGTAGAGTACAGCGTTCAAGTACTTACAAAAGTCTCCCAAATCAAATATTCTCCAAAAGGATACGAAGAAAAACGATAAACAGTTATACAGTTTTTTAAACTAAGAATATATTATATATTATAATCATACTGCATAAAAATTAAATAAATGCAAAATGTGACAAATAAACATATAACAAATACTGTGTTTTTTAATTTTTTTGTTTGGTGAAAATCACTTTAGATTTCTAAAAATACATTGCCAGCAAACCTAATAGAAACCAGTGAGCGGAGCAGTATAGTCGGACGGGGCCGACCATACGATACCCTACACAACTATCACGGAAATCTAACCTTCTGCGGATTTTTATTCCGAGCCTGGCAATATTTCGTATTAGTTGCACCCTCTTGTCCGCTTAGAGGTTAACAGTACCACTTCCTTACACTGACATATTTTCCGAATATTACTAATATTCAGTACAGTCCTTCTAATTACTTGTTCAGATTCCCTTGACCGTGGGTTGTGTTGTGATGTTCGGTTTATAATTGTGGCCTATAGATCGACTCGAAAAACATAAGTTTTCGGTCCACTTCATTCCAAAATTATTATCTGATCATCACCGAAAATTATAGTCGTTGTCCTTGACCACTACTGGAACCTCATGGAACATTTCAAAGCGATCAGCTCTATATTTCCGCCCTCCAGTGTTTTAATGGGTTACTAAATAATAGCTCAGTACGTAAGCACCTGTAAATATTTAGGTGTAACTCCCACATATGAGTACATAGGACCATTGGTATCAATTTAAAGGTCAACCACTCCTCTTGGATATTATGTCAAATTCGCGGGTCTTTGTTCTTCATGGGTAAATATATACGCTATAGAATACAAATTTTGTCATTTTTCACACAAAAGTCAGGGTCAATTTGATCCGCTAAATATTGACCGATCTTTATCAAAATAGGCATGCTTATTCTTTGCCCCAATCCCCTTTTCCATGTAAAAATTCAAGATGTTTGGGCCATAATTGTGGCCTCTGGAGCGACCAGAAAAACGGACAAAAATAAAGTTTTTGGTCCATTTCATCCCCTAAACATTAACCAATCTTTTCCAAAAACAATAGGGGTCTTCATTGGCCAGAACATATCCTACATGCAAAATTTCGTGAAGATTGGTCCATAACTGTAGCCTGCATCGTGTTTACAAATTATAATGGACGGACGGACACACATGTCTTGATCGACTCAGCTAGTCGAGATATGACGATCGGTATACTTAAAGGTGGGTCTAGGATCAATATTTCGCGGCGTTACAAACTTTTGGGGCTGCACAAAGCTATAATACCCTGACAACATAGTTGTGTAGGGTATAAAAAGCTTAACGTGGTAGTTTGAATGGATTTTTCACTTTGTCGCTGTTTTCCATACCACACATAAAATGGGTTTAAAGTGACAGATCTGATTCCCCAGTGACATATTATGATAGATAGGAAATCAACGATATGGATCAATTCAATCACCCCATGGTATATTCAGTAAGGTAGCCACATAGGCGAATTTCTAAAACAAAACATCGCTTGTTGTATTTTGATATGTCAAAAATATTTTGCCAAAACAAACAGATTCATAAGTTTTTTACACAAATTCTTGTAGAAAATGTAAAGTATTGCCAAACAAGCTCTTCAAAATTCAGAGATTTTCATTTATAATTTTGTTTTTATTTTTTGAATCTACATTACAACAATATTTTTGACATTTATTTGCACCAATAGCTGCGCCAATGGAGCTACCTTTTTAAATATACCTTGAATCGCTCTTATTACGGTAGGCATAGTTGTTGTACGGCACATCTCGTAGGCGTAGTCAAATGAATTGTCGTAGTCGTTTTTGGTCGGTATTGTGTAAAATTTACGACAAAGCCAAATTTTTGTAATAGATTTTTCTTTTACTCTGTTACAAAACCAAAACAAAAATTGTACTTTTAGAACGCTTTTTTATATTGTATTGTAACCCTAACCATTTATATTTATTTCAAGATTCTTTTGATGACAGCATACATCAAAAGAATCTTGAACGATAAATAATATGTCCTACTGAACGATAATTCCCTAATTTATCAGTAAAATTTGTTCCAATAAGTCTTCCTGGGGCTCCTATAAGGCTTCTATTTCACTCCGATTTTGGAATTTCGGAACAATATTATTCTAGTTCCGATTCCCGATTTATGTTGTTTATGTTAGTTGTTAGATCTTGTGTATTTGACAATAGTGACGTGCCTTCCTGTTTGCATTCATCACGTATGCTCCCCATAGTCGACAACGGGGGTTAAAAAGTCTATTTGTTCAGAAGCAATTTTTCCGTGAAAAAAGTTTGTAACATTTGAACCGATGAATATATTCAAGGGCTATACATTATGTCATCCATTAAAGCAAGCTGATATCTACATCTTTTGTCAAAATATATAGAATTGGAAAAACAACTATAGTTAGCTTTGACAAAGTCATCGTTATAATTTTCAATAAGGTTAACAGGTCTGCGAATTCATGCCTTAGTCTTCTCTTGCTGTCAACATTTGAATCGCGAAATACCAACTAGAATAGGATTAAAACTAAAAATATCTGCGGATAGTGGGAAGCCCAATATTATTCTTTGGGTAACTGTGGATACTAAATAAACAGTCGCTGACAATCAGCGGGTTCAGTGGGAGTGTCTTGGAGAAAATGACCGAGTGCCCATGATTCTTGAATTGAGGAGGCGAGAATGGCGCCTCTAAATAACCAATTCAGAGGTCTGGTTCACTACCTCCTAAAAGGACCCCCCTAACGCTGGGGTGTCATGCGATCTCGTGTCCATCAGTGTTCTACGGTTTGCAGTCAAGGTCCTGACTATTAGATGCTATGCCATGATCAACCAGAAATCCTCACTAAAATCGAATGCTATGGAGCCGAATTTAATGATCAACCTCAAATTCTCAATAAAACCTACTACAATGCAGCCAAAATTAAAAAAAGTTTTGTTTGTGGCTGATTAAATCGGGGTTTTTGATATTTGTTTTATCGCCAAGTAATATGGGCAAAGTGTATGTAAATAGTTCATATCGTTAGCTAAAATGCAAAAAGACGTAACTAACAATAAATTGAAAATTGACTTTTTGAATGAATATTGTGAATGTAAATAAACTACATGTGTTGACAAAGTTTTACACGTCTGCGGTCAAAAAAGAAGATTCTATTAACAAAAAACAAAAAGTCGTAACTTCAAGTGGGTTTATAGTAATAATAATATAATAATTAAAAAAATAATTTTGTTTTATTTAGGTACAAATCTGTCAGTGTATTAAAAGTGAACTTAGAAAAATCTTCATTTGACAAGTTTATAGTTTTCATTCAAAACTGTTTTTTGCTTCTCCTACACAATTATGCTTTAGCTAACGATATATTATTTGCATCAATATATATGGGCACTATAGCCAATTTTTTAATATTAAATTTTCAAAAAATCAGTTTTTTTTTGTTTTTTTTTTTTGCACATCAATGATTTTTGGTACACATATAGAGAAAAATGTTCTGACTCTGAAACCGTTCGCGATCAAATTTTTGGTTGATGCGCGCAAAAGTTATCGGGGTTTAATTTCGGGCATAAGAAAAAAATCTTAAAATTAGGCCGTTTATTATATTGACCAAAAACTTTGTTATAGATCTTCCTCCGTAAAATAAGAATATTAATATATTATAATAATCGCGATGAAGTTGCACATCTTCGCAAAATATGAGAAAAATAAAAAATATAGCAGATTACATCAATATTTTCATTATATTAATGACATACACACACATAAAAATTAATTTGCAAATATATGTATGTATGTATATACATACATAATCTAAACACCATAATGAATCAAATGATATCAAAATCACACAAGTCCGTGTAGCGGTTTGTAAATCAAAGCGACAACAAAACAAGATATTGAGGAAAAATATTTGTTTTTGGTTCGAAAAAAATTATGTCATCATATTTATTTTTCTAATTTTATACAAGAAATTTCAGAAAAACATGTTGGGGTTTGTATAGCTCAGAGGGGCTCCGCCGATGGGAGTCAGAACGCCGAATGCGTGGAGCAGTGGACCGTAGGGGAGGGTTGTAGTGAGACCGTGAAAATAGAATAAGAATAAAAACACAATAGTTTTCTTAATAAATAGTTCAGTGTTTTATTAGTACGTTGGTTGTTGGTAACAATATTACCTTTTGGC